AAACGAGAGGAAGAGGAGGAGGAGAGAGAGGAGAGACGGAGGGGCTGGCAGTGGCAGGACGAGGGGTGCAGGCGTGGAGACTGTGGCATGCAGCTCCAGTTGGCATGGGCTCTATCAGTCACTCTCAGGCCTGGGCACAGGGCCCTCAGTGGCATCACACACACACACACACACACACACACACACACACACACACACACACACACACACACAAACACACACACGTGCACCCATGACCAGAATTAGATACAAAATGTTTTTTATACATCTGGGCCCAGGAGTCCTGAAGACCATCCATGGGTTAAAGGGGTTATTTTCATATAATATCATGTTAGTGTTTTAAGTGTCTTACATAATAAAAAAAGTTCAGGCTCAGGATTAATTTTCACTATTTCTCACTGTACAGCCTGATAATGGGGCAGATAGTATCGGCTCTGCATTAAAGTGTTTCAGTTTCCATTCTGAGGTTCTGCTCAGGTTCTTCAGTCTCAGAACTCATCTCATTTGTTCCGGTTCGGGTCTGCACCTGGTCCTGAAACCAGAAATTCTGTAGATCTGTTTGGTTCTGGAGACGGAACCGTCACTGAGGCGGATCAGAACCCTGAGCAGATTTTAGAAGCAGACATTTCTTGCTTTTTAATCTCAGGTTGAAGTTGCTCACAGTCTCAGCGGTAGGTACTGTCGGTGTTTCTGACCCGTTTGAAAGTTCTGATGAGGTTTAAACTGTGTTTCTGTTTCACTAACAAACACACATACACGCCCACACACAACCACACACCAGCACACACACACCTGTCAGTTAATGAGCCGCAGAGATCAGCAGCAGCTGAGGAAACCACTGAGACACACATGCACATATTCACACCTATGCACACACACATACACACCATGCATATGCACACACACACAGTTTATATTCTTCTATCCTCGTGGGGACTTTGCAGTGACGTCCATTCATTTTCATTCATTTCTACAGCCTAACCCTAAACCTGAGCCCCGTCTTTAAAATGTTGTTTGAGCTAAAGGGGCCGGGATTTGGTCCCCATTGGATCCTCGCAATACGGTGTATGTGTCTGAGAAATGGTCCTCACGAAGTAGCAAAACCAAGTGCACCTAGACACACACATGTTCGTATACAGACACACACACACACACACACACACACACACACACACACACACACACACACACACACACACACACACACACACACACGATCTTCTACAGACTTGTTTCAATTTCTTCAAGTAAAGGCAAATATTTTCTCAGACATGATTAAAAATATTTGAAACAGTAATAATGTAAATATGAGTACTTTACGCACAGATACCGAGTACTTACTGAGTTAGAACCCTAACACTTTAAAAACACTTTTTTTTATTTAGAACAAAGTGTCCTCCCTTTATAGACCTACAGCCTGTCAAATATACAGCATGATAATGTCGCAGCCTTAAAAAATAAATATAACAACTAAGGTTTTCTTTCTACTTTAATAAATTTCTTAAAGATGGAACACAAACTTTGTGAACTTTAGTAACTGAAAGAACAAGCTGATATTTTACTGACACAACAAAATTAGATCTGGACATAGGTAGAGTGGGGGGAGGAGCCAAGCTCAGATATACAGTAAGTTGTCCAGAAATACTGTTAACTGGATAAAATCATATCTGTTGTAGTGAGGGAGAACCACAAGGTTCTGTGTTCAGTCCATTGTTGTTTTACATAAATGATCGCACATAATTTTATATTTTTCACTGTATAAATTATACGCCATGTGGGTTGAGTAAACTGAATGCCGGTATCACTGATAAATGCCAGAGATGTAAGACAGCTGTTGGGGATCTTCTCCACATGCTTTGGAGTTGTATACATTTGCAAACCTACTGGAGTAATGTAATTCTGTTGACGTCAGAGGTGTGTGACTTTCTTTGAATTTTGATCCTAGGATATGGATAGTTGGAGATGTTGCATCTCTGAAATTAAATAAATACTTAAATATTTTTGTTCTGTTGGCATTGTTTGCTGCAAAAAAGTGCATACCTAAAAACTGGAAGTCTACTGAACCTCCAAACCAGAAACATTGGATCAACGAACTATTGTCATACTGCACTCCTGAAAAAAATCCTCCATTCAGTTCGGGGATCATTATCTGAGTTTGATCAAACATGGACTCCCTTCCTGGACATTCTAACTAGATTTGACTTGAGAGAAAAAAATTTAATTTAGCATTACACAATATAAATATATTGTGTAATGCTAAATAAAATTTTTACTATATGCGCTGCTGTATGGAGAGAGTGGGTGGGTTTTATTTTGGTAGTTTCTTTCAAAAAAATAGAATGTACAGTATACTAAATGTAATTTTTAAATTGATTCTCAATAAATACATCTATACAAAAAATGATCTCACATTAGTTTCTGGGGGTGACATGAAAATACAAATATGATCATCATCGGATGATAAACTCATCTGTTCACCTGAGTGTTTTCTGCTGCGGCTCCTCCACAGCCACTTCTCTTATGAAACACCAAGTCTGAGAAAAAAAAGTGTTTCATGTTCTGTGTAACCAACACAAGCAGAGTCACGTACGTAACACAAAAAGATGAATCAAATGTAAATGTGATGTTAGAAATGTTATAAAATGTCAGTTTTTATATCTGAGTTTTATGTTGAACACCACACCACAGCTTTTGAAAACTTTAAATGTGTCAGAAATTCATCTAAAACTGTCATGATTCTGTCATAAATSTAAAATATTATTTTTATTCATAATTATTCAGAGGTTATTCGGGTGTTTAGTACCATACGTTACTGAGTCTCTTTAATCAGACCTCTGAACACATGAACAGACTAAGAACCAGTTTAGTAGTCTTGACCCTTAACCAAGGCCTCAAGGAACTGGAAGTAGTCACCCCCAGACCTGAAGAACTGCAAGTTCCAGATCCTCCTCCTGAGGAACAAAAACCTGCTGAGTAAATACATATTAATACTCAGAATGAATGAATACTCATAATTAGTAAATRAATGTCTGATGTAATGTTTTCTGTTTTTTATTTAGATGTTTTAGGTTTATTCACTTCCACAGAGACTTCAGCTATAATCTCAGTTTGTTTTCCTGTAAACAGTCCCAGATAAATCAACAAACAGATCAGTATCTGAACCCTCCTTCAGGTCTAAACTGTTTCCTCTGACCCCACAGAGGCGCTGAACATCTCAGACCCTCAGCTCTGCTACATCCTAGATGGGTTCCTGGGTCTGTATGGTCTCATCATCACCGGCATGTTCATCAAGGAGAAGGTGGGTCTTTATACTGGTCCTGACCCAGGACTGTAGTACTGACTCTAGACCTGGACATCTTTAGACATGTGGGTCCTGTTTGTGAGTCCTACTGACCACAATCCTGTTCTTTAGTTCTTCAGAAGCAAAATGAAGCCGGCGGAGGAGAGCCTCTACACCGTAAGTCTGTTCAGCTGGTAGTGATGATGGTGATGACGATGATGATGATGATGATGATGATGATGATGACGATGATGATGATGATGGTGATGATGATGATGATCTGTTTGTGTCTTCAGGATCTCAGAGGTCAGGAAACTGATGGAGGTTACGCCCCACTGATGACCGACCCTGAGAGAGGAAGAGTAAGTTCATCTTCATCAAACGTGATCGGTGATGCTACATGCTAACAGCAGTTAGTCCCTGAGTCCACAGATTTACCATCAGGTCCAAGTTCAGGAAGGTCCAGAACCCTGGTGTTGTTCTGACTGATCCAATCAGAGTGGAATCTAAAAGACCAGTTCCTGTGGAATCAAGGAGATTTTAAGAAACCAAACATGAAAATGATCTAAATCAAGAAAAGAGTTTTAAAAGGTTTGACACAGTTCTGACAGAACCGGTTCTTAGAACCAGAGAAGAACCTGAAAAAAGGAACCTTTTCAGAGCCTCTGTGGAACATTCTGTCCAAAACCTGAAAGCAGAACTTTAACAGAACCAAAACAGAGATTTTTTAGTTTGTCGATTCTAAAGCACCAGCTAGAAACCAGCAGAACCAGAACTTTTGGACCGCTGGTTCTTCTTCAGGTTTTTCAAAGAGCGATAATGTGTTCAGATTTGTCTGTTGAACTGTTCTGTTCTGTGTTCTAACAGAACCGTCGGGTCCAGTCTGACGACACTTACACGGTAATAAATTCTTTATTTTGACCTTTTGTTCTTCTTGGATCAGAACCATCAGTTCCTCCTGATAGAACTTTGGTTCTGTTGGGTTTTTCTGACAGGGTCTGCAGAAACGGACCGAGGGAACCTATAAAGAACTTCCTGTCAAACGAGACGTGAGAAAAACTTCAAAACTCCTCAGATTCTTTGTTTTTTAAACTCAGACAGAAAATTATTTTACTTCATTTAGTTTCAGGCAAAAATATTTTGTTTTAGTTTGTTTGTTGAACAAAATAATTTCAGAAAACTGAAAAATAAGAAGTTCATTTCGACAAATATTTTCTTTTACAGCGACCCAAAAAGAACGAGCAGATTTACCAGGTGAGACAAACCATCCAATCACTGCTGAGCAATTAAAGGATTAATTAACTGATGWATCAATCAGCTGATGTATTAATTAACTGATTCATTTGTTCTCAGGGTCTGAGTTCAGCCACCAGAGACACCTACGACTCCCTGCAGATGCAGCAACGTTAACCAGTTATTAACCAGTTATTAACAACAGTTAACCAGTTATTAATGAGTTATTAATTGCAGTTAACCAGTTATTAACCAGTCATTAACAGAAGTGAATAGTTATTAACCAGTAATGAAGATTTTAACAGCAGTAAAGTTATAAACCAGTTATTAACGGTTAACAGTTATTAGCCAGTTTTTAACAGCAGTTAACCAGTTGTTAACTAAGTTTAACAGTGTTAACTAGTTTTTAATCACCAGTTTACCAGCAGTTAATGAGTTTACCAGTTCTTAACGAGTCCCTAACGAGCTCTGAATGAGGTTCGGTTGTTTTGGTTTCCTGAAC